CCGGCGCTCCCCTTCCTCTCCCCTTTCTGCGCCTTAAGAGTTTCCCAAGCCCATTTCCTCCTTTATTTCGCTGCAGCCCCGCGAGGGAGGCAGGATTCTCCCCATTTACCAGATTTGACAGGAGAGAAGCCTGCCGTCCTAGGGCAGGGTGGGGAGGAGGTAAGTGAAGAAGCCAAGGTCACCCAGTCATTGGCAGAACGCAGCCTCAACCCAGCCCTTCTGCGGGCTCGCTGGAGCCCTGCTAGGTGGGCCCAGGCTGCTGGCCTGAGCCCCTTCTTTTCTCGGCTGGCACTCGGGGGCGGGCTGGCCACAATGACAGGTGAGCCTGGGTAGGGGACAGTTGGGGAGGGTTCGCTGCGCGGGGCCCCCTGGCGCGTGGGCCTTGGGAGCGGCTGCCCCAGCCCGCTATAGCGCCTGGGCTTCCGAGGGCCAGCGCCCGGAGGCACGACGGGGCCAGCACCTTTAGCCAGGGGTCCTTGGTGCACCCCTGGCCCGCCGACCAGGCCCCGCCCCCCGCGGCACGGGCGGGGGCAGGGGCGGCGCCGGCGGACTGGGGCGCGGGCGCGCGGTGCTTGGTGCGCGCCGCCGCCCCTCCGGCCCAGCTTGCTGGCCCGCCCTCCCTCCCCCTCGGCCCGCTCTCCTCACCCCCACCCCTCTCCTGTCCTCGGCCTGGCGGCCCGGCTCGCGGTGCGGCGCGACGATCGCGGCCTGGCGATCAGGGCACGGTGGTCGTGGCGCTCGAGGGTGGCGCGCAAGGCGCGGGGCGCGAGGCCAGACCTGGCGCAGCGGGGCGTGGGGGCGGGCAGCAGCGGAGTCCCCAGAGGAGAGCAGGGGCAGGGGGGTGCCAAGGTAACGGGCAGGGCCCAGGCGCCCGGCTGCAAGGGGCGGGAGCTCCAGGTGCACCTCGGCCCTGGCCTTGGCCGGGCCGACTTGGGGGCCCCCGGGGAGTCGGGAGGCCGGCGGGCGGGGAGGGAGGGAGGGAGGAGACGGCTGGGCTGGGCCGGGGGCTTGGCCGACGGGGAGCAGGTGGGCGGGGACAGGGGCCCTGCTGGAAGAGGCGCCGCAACGAGGTGGCGGGCTGCGTGCACAAACTGGGCGGCCGCCTCCTGGGCCCAGAGAACGGTGAGGCCGTTTGGGTTGGGTGTTCCAGCCCCGAGGGCATGGTTCTGTGTCCAGGGCCACTAAGCTGGGCGCGGGGCACTTTTGGGGGAGGATCTGGAGGCCCAAACGGGCCAAGGCGTTTGGGGTCTTGAGCAGACCCAGGAGAAGAGTCTAGCTGGGCCAGAAGCTGGAATTCGTGGGCAGGGCGCTGCTGGCGGGCGACAGTGGGCAAGGATGGGCACTTTAGGGGTTGGCATGAGTGGAAGGGGACAAGGAGGGCCCAGAGTTTGAGTTTGAGCGTAATTTGGGAGTTCCATGTCACTGGGTGGGTTGATGACTCATGAGATTTGCTGATCACAGAAGCCTTTCCTGGCGACCAGTTCTGAGTGAGGGGAATGAAAAGGGTGAGGATTTGGAGAAGTGGTGTGGAGGCCACCTCTTGGGACACCCGGTGCTCTGATGGCTTCCTGTCCCCATGCTAGGGACTTTGGGAGTGATGTTTCACAGTGCTGTTGATTTGGAAGCTTCAGCTCAAGCTGAGGTTAAGGAAGGTCTTGGTGGTGGCCAGTCCCTGCCTTCCTTCCTTTCCAGGCTTTCAGGATTCAGTTGTGTTCCTGAGGGGAGTGGGTTAAAAATTCCTCCGGCCTACAATCAGCCTTACAATATCCACCAGGGGTAGGAGGGACATGTACATGCGTGACTGCAGCAGCATTCTCTGTCGTGGAGCCCTCACGCTTCCTCGCTGTTGCCATAGCAATGCCCTATTGATGGTGTATTTATAGGGGAAGAAGCAGGCGCTAAATTTTGGGGAAGGAGGGGGAGGCGGCTTCATGGCAGCAGCAGCAGTAGCAGCAGTGATGGTGACTACAGAATTGTTAATGGAGTGGGCCATGCCCTGTGAGCTGTTTGGGGGGAGTTCCTGGCTTGTTTGAAGCTTAAAAATGAACTAATGACTTCATCAGGTGTCAGGAGAACACTCATCCATGGCTATGACATGTGTGGGTGTGCATGCACCAAAGTCGGATGTGTTTGGGACAAGAGGTGGCTATATGTAAGCTGTTACATAATTTTTCCACATACAAATGAACAAAACAACACTGCAGTTCTCTTTGATAAAAAATGAAACGTATGTTTTTCTATCTTCACTTATTGGTACAGCCTTTACTCATTCTTTTCATACCCTGACACAACAGCTCCGTATTTAATTCAGTCAAAACCATTGCTGTTAGGCTCACCTCATGAGTGGCATTGGCCCTAGGGGAACCCCAGAGATCCATAATGAAGCAGAAATTAGTATTAATATTCCGTCTTCACTCTAAAACATTGAGGGCCAACTTATCTTACAATGGTAGACCCATCTGTTGACAGGTTCACTCACTGATAGTTTTGGGTGGGATTGTTGTGGAATTCAAAAGACAAAATCCCCCTTGACGTGGTGTTTCCATAGATGGATGTTATATTTGCTGTTTTTCCTTTAGCTTTAATTTTATTTTTGATTTATATCCTACCTGTTTGCCAAAAGAATTAGAAGGTATATTTTAAAAATACATAAGACTCTGACCACCTAAATAGAAAAATGTATTCCCTGTTGCAGAGGAGAAGCATATGTGCTCAACAGCTGGGCTTCTAGAATGTTTGTGCTTGGTGATCAATGTTAACGCTGAACTTCCTGGCAGCCTAGGCAAAAAGGGCGGCATAGTGGGTTACACCGTTCGCGTGTCTTACATCCTGTTAGTCATAAAACCAGAGCTTCTTCTTGGGGAGGGGAGCAGCAGTGTGATTGCTCCCAGATGTGGACAGCTTGGTCAGTGCTCTGGAATACGTGCATGAGTGGGAGTCTGTGTTGGGGGAGAGCAGTGTGCTGTGGCTATGGTTTACATTGTAGCTGGATAATTCCTGAGCAGGAGTGAGGCTTTTGGACAATAGTTCACATTAGAGGCAACCCTTGCATTGACTTAGCATCTCAGTTTTGGTCACGCCAGTCACTGTCCTGGTACTCCACCACAGTGTTCCTTAATGCAAGGAGAGGAGAGAGAGAGTTAGTTTCAGAAGATCCTGGGCACTGTGTCTGGTGCAGACAAACACAGTGAGTCACCTGGGTTTGGGCCATGACTTTTGACGTAGTTGTTGTTGCCATGTTAAGCTTTGCCAGTACCTGCTTCTTCAATGCATGCTGCCTGTTTTCCAAGAGCGTGCTTGTCCCTAGAGGTATCTGGGACTTGCCACTGTGAGTAAAGTTAGTTCCACAAAATGCATCCTGTCTCTGTCACTGTTGGTGTGCTTGGCCTCACCTAAGACCCCATCTCTCTGAGATCCTTTCCAATTCAAAAGTGCAAAGATTTTTTTTTCAATATATGAAATTTATTGTCAAATTGGTTT